ATCAGGACGTTCACGTTATCAATTAATTCGTTCTAGGGTTACACTACGCATGGACTTTAGAAAATATCTAAGAGTTCATTTTTCCTGTTTCTCTAAAGGGGACTGTACTCAAAGTTCTAATTTGTCTTTACCTAAAATAATTATTTCGTGCATTTAAAAAAATGTATATGGAAGTTTTTGAGGCTTACAGTAGATCATATGCATGAGATGTATTCGCCCTATTTCGTTTAAGAGGATGAGGGGAATTATAATTGAATTTTCCCCCAATGCTATGTATACATCGTAAGTTTCCATTGAATCTCACTTGGACTTGCTTCTAAAAAGGTATTCTCATCCAAGGGGAAATGCGGTTGTGACCTCGCCTATGTGAAATTCGATGAAACTGTAAGGTCTACTATCATTGTAGGAAAATTCAATTACCATTCCTCTTATCACCTTAAACACAATAGGGTGGATACAACTCATATATAATTTTTTGTAAGTCCGATTTTCTTTTCGTCTCATTACAGTTAATCGCTCACCAACACTTATTAGTATATTGCCTCAATAGGAGTAAAAATTATTTGAAAGCTTGCATAAGCTTTAGATTACTTTAGCACCCCTGGAAACTCTTTTGCCCCCAAAAGTGAGTTAAATAGCTAGCTTTAACCAAACGAATAGAGAAGATGGGGAGAAGGTACATAATCACCCGATAGGTGAGAGTTGGTTCGCCTGATGTAAAGCGGAAATTTTGACACAAAGCCAGTCTATATAACTTAAAAATTTTAGTTGTTCGACCTCGTTTTCGCAACTTGGTCGTAGCGTCGTGGAGACCTTGTGGAACTTACCTAGTCCATTTAAGCCACACTATCTTGGTCTTATTGTTGTACTGTTTTACTGTCCAAGATATACGACAAATCACAGACTAAAATGTCACATGTATTTTACGGAAATATTCTGCATAACTATATAGTGCATAACTTCCCACGAAAAATTCCAACCCATTAATTGTCCTCTGAGGCGAGTAGGGAATGAATATGGTATGAAATGTCTCAAGTAATACAATAGTCACCAAATGAAAATTTGACAAAATGAAAATTCCGTCCTGCTTATTATAGCGTCTGAGACATTTAGCTGGTATTTTTCTGTAGATTTATTTTAAAGTTGCGCATTTGTTTGTGCTGGTAACTGATCCTTTATAGATGGCTTGCTGGCTGGTTAGTTGGTAACTTGATTGCCTTGCTGGTGTGAGGGTGTGAGGGTAGATAGACAGGTAGGCAGGAAGACATGTAGGCTAGTAGGTTGGATTGACACATGAATAACTGAGCACAGAAAGTACAACTACTGAATGACGGTTTACCCAGAAGCCGGTCACTAGCTAAATCAATGAACTTAAGCATATAGTCGTGTCAGCCTAGCAAAGAATAACTGTCTAACTTTAATCTTTATGTGAGTCTTCTTCAGATGAAGTTGCCCTAGTCGACTCATCCATGTGTGAAGCGTGTGAAACATGGGGATGAACAGGATAGAGCTGTGTCTCTGCGAGTGGGCTGAGAGAGGAATAGGACGGGTGTGCCTGGGTATTGCAAGTGTGTCGAAGTAATGGAGGATGTCAAAGCGATGCGACCTCAGAAGATTGAATTTCCACGCTCGACAAGATGGCTATAAGGGTATTAGGAAGAAGGTGAGAATATGGTAGTGGCGAGAACTTCCAATTTCGACTGCCAGACGCGAGAAATTGTGGCGTAAGCTGGTTTTGAAGGTAGGGCAGACGGGAAGAGGAGAATGGATAGTGGGTTAGACGCGAATACTGCCTCTTCATGAGCCGACTCTAACTCATTGGCCAGGCGCCAAAAAGTGTTGTTTGTTCAATTCCCTGCCCAGACCTGCTCTGTATTTTATGACACTTTCGCCCCCTTCCCATTCGCAATGTCTCTGCTCCACCTGCTTTCCTCTTGGCCTAGTTTTGCTCATTCTCTGCTCCATGGTAAGACAAGAACATGGCTTTGAGTAGAAGCATCGTCATGAAAAGGAGGATAGGCTCGAATAATCAGCAAGCACTTGCTTTAAACATACAATAACGCCTAGATATAACTTTCGGTTGATAGATCACCTGAGCATGGCAGCAGTTTCCCCGCAACGTTTTCCCTACAATCGGTTTTCTGTCTTTCTCCGTCTACCTCGTTTACATCGGCCAACTCTTAAACTCTCTTTATGTCTATTCATACCCCACTAGTCAGGTGGCCCTAACTTTGAACCTCGAAATTAAGTTTCTCGAATTAAACACTATGCAAACTTGCGAAAGGCAATCATTAAAAATGATGCTCTGCTATCCCTACAACAAAAATCAAACGTAGACACAGCTACTGCCGATCTCGTCAAAATGCATGCAAAATCAAAGATGATTTCTCGATGAGCAAGAAGATGAGAGAACAACAGCTAATACTACTTCAATAAGACTTGAATGGTACTCAACAAATAAAAAGGCAGCCCTCGATACTCGCAGGACAATAGTAGTAATACTAGTAGCATCAGCCATAGTCGCCAGAAGACAAATAGGTCGTAGGCTGGCCAGTCTGGCAGGTCTTAGCACTCTGTTTAACCTGGCAACTGTTGGTGTATGTTGTTGAAGTTATTAAGGCCTGTGAACTACACACCAGAATCCATATACCAATGGGAACGAGGCCAGCCCAGCACATCTTCGACTACAATAGGTTGGCAAGGTCAGACCGGAAACTGTTAGAACGATAAGCTTAATGACGAAGCAGGTTGGCCTCTGGAAAAGGTTGGTCTACGAGATTCATGTTACCTGTGCCCACAATGAAATGTGTATGGGAATGTGTGCATACTCTCATGTTGCCCTTTCGTTCCGGGAAGTGTCTATAAGGAAAATTTATAAGCGCCAAAATCTTTGGCGACATCAGAAAAATGCATACGCGTAGATATACATATATGCACATATAAAAATGCATATGTTGTCAAATCTGTCAAAAATAAATATATTGTTAAATCTGTCAAGAAGAAATATATTGTTCCTAAGGCCACTACCCACGGCCCATAAATACCCAGGAATATTACTTTATTTGAAAATAACTGATGACACTTTAGTTTCATAAATTCCGTTTTGCGAACGCGACAAATACTAGATAAAACAGGTCTTTTAAACCTCCATGCAGCAGGCTTTCAACAACTTTGTAACTTCTGACTATTCGGATGCTTAATAGTGAATATTGGGGATGGGTAACAATCGTCCCACCTATCTAAAGTGTGCATGAAATGCTTCAAATATGAAGCCAAGATTATGGGATATTACAATTAAATAAGCGGTCGCGTGCAAGATGGAGTTAATAATCTACTTATCAAGTTTGTTCACCCTATTTCATTTAAAGTGATAAGGGAAAATGCCTGGACCTCCATGAAATTCACATTTGTCCTGTGACCAAAGAGCATTCGTGGAAATGTGGCTTAGTGGTTAAGATGTCGAGATTATATGCTGCATTGTCATGGTTCCAGTTCCGCTGGAGGTGTTGATGAGACCTAAGCGAGCTCGAAACTGCAATCCACACTTAATGAGAATACCTTTTTGGAAAGCAAGACTAATTGAAATTCAATGAAAGCGTCATGTCTATTCATATCACTGTGGGAAAATTCAACTACATGAAACGAAATTGGATGAATACACTTCATATATAAATGACCTACTGGCAGTCTCAAAAAACCTACTTATAAATTAAACATTAATAATCTGCCTCAGGAAGTAATGCAAATCAGAGATAGACTAGTTATACAGTGCTAATAGTTTATCTGTCTCCCTCCATCTTAGCTTCAGATTGAGAGTGATTTTGTACACACATTTGGCAAGATCCGTGTATTGCCTATTCTGAATGTTCTTGTATGTGCGGTTGCAGATCCTGGGTCTAACGCTCTCTTTGGAAGGGCTGACAACATTTTGTCGAGGTCACTACAAATGTCCACTTTGGATAGAAGTATTTTGCCGATTTTTCCTTCGGTTAACGGTGGGCCTGGGCTAAAAAGCGCTTAAACAGCAGATTGGTCAATAGTGGGCCCTAACATCCTGGCGAGCTTCACTCCTCTTTTCTACAGCACTTCGTCTAACCAATGTGTAAAATAAATATTCGTGTTTATCTATAGGACTGAATTCCGTCTTATCTGAACAACCAAAATTCCCTCCATCGAGAAGCCGGAAAAGATGATAACGGCTCCATCAAACCATGCCCGTGCTCCTTTAAAGTGGTCTAAATTACTTCACTGGAATTGGTCGGACGTGGACAGGATTCCCCAGTAAAATGAATTAACTCAAGGAGATTGGACATGACCGAAAGACTTGGCGAGCTGCCTTTGTCACTAGGCCGTTACAAGTAGTGGCCACTGCTTATAGGAGATAATGCCAAAACACGGGTCGTGTCCTCAGAATCTGAAGTATGTCTGATGCGGCCGAGGCTTAATTTCAGCCTGCTCGACGGTTCTATGTTATTTACATGAAAGCAGCTCTAATTTGACATTGCCCCATTCTTCGTGCACTGAATATGGCTAGACACAAGCAAACAGACCTAAGTATTTAGTTATAGTTATATGTGCTTGGTGAGAATCTTTCAGACTGTTTAGAACTGGACCACTCAAGTCAATTATTCAAATAAAGCGTCTCTAAGATGGGACAGGGGAAAAGATGAATGAGGCCAGTTCTTCTCTCAAGCAGGTGCTATAGGACGAAACAAATTAGTTGATTTCACCATATGGCAATAAGTAAATTTGATGACCTGAAGAGGACCGGTCAAACTTTTCTAAAGCTCTATCAGGGACAATGGTTCAAGTTAAGCAGCTTCGCGTCTTTTCTGGTGGTCGAGCCTGTCCATCACACGGTCTATTTCCATACCTTGAGGAGCCAGAAAGCGGTCTAAAGATAGCATCTTTGTTTTACTACCTGCAGCCAACATGGGGAGAACTTGTCGTCTAAAGGTGAGCATACCCGTCCGCACTGGTTGCATGTGGACGTATTTGTGTCTGCTTGACGTGGGGCAGAGAGCACTGGGAGGACCAGAGAAGAGAGGGCGCGAGAGCCAGCCTGAGCGCGGGCAACGAGACCTTGTAATGGGGAAACTCGTTGTCACACCGGCCTGCATGTATGCTCATGTGTTTGCCTGTTGTCCTGGCGACGGAGTCGCTGATGCTTGTGTCCCGAATGCATGTTTCCCATTCGCGTGGGAGTTCATGATTTAATTTGTCCGTCCCCCTAATTTGTCAATCAACCAATCATCAAATCACATCCGCTCAACCCCTAGGCGACCCGCTTCATCACCTCGTCTGTCTGCCTCAGCCCACCCCCTCCTCTTATGCTTTGCCCAGTCTTCACTTCCAGTTTGACTTCCCCCTACCGACCGCCTTCACACCTCCCACACTTGCCACACATTTGCTGGATCCCATGGTACGATTAAGGACATGGCGTTCTGAAGACACAATGGGTAAACAGGTCGGTCAGGCCGATGACTGAGTGAATGAAACAAGTACACTCTGGGTTAGATACAATTTTCCTGATAAATCCTTGATATATCCGACACAGGAGAAGTTGTCTCATGTTGTCAGGGCAACTAAAGGATGTCGAATTTCTACTGTTGTGAAAGATTCCCAGTAGAACAGAATGGTGGCCATGCCTTAATGTTGCATTCCACTTTACATTTCACCTACCTCAGTTTCTCAATTTGTTCTTGGTTTCAGATAGACCTCGAAGAACGCACTTCTTACTGCACCCTCTGCTAAAACTGGACTGATTCTTTCCAGAATCAAGCAGTTGCCTGTATGCAATTATTGACGTTTTTCAGGAATTTCAGTTGGTCTCGTCCATGTGCTACAACATGTCGAAGTGAAATGTGTCAGGAGACTCAGCAGAGAGTTGATGAAAGGATGAAATTCGCTTGTCGATTTGACAAACTCGGTACTCAAGTTGGCACTGACAATAGCAGTGAAACTTATAGAAAGGTGTACCAAGTGAACAGTCTGTTGGTCTGACTGTGGCAGAGGGAGCAGTTCGTACTTCTTCCCGTCACCATGACCAAATTGTTACAAGAGGGCCGGACCAATACAGCGAAACGGGGCTGCGACCAAAATAAAAAGCAAACATTCTTGGTCGTCCTACCTACAATGTTGCCTCATAACGCCCCCTAACAGGCACTTTCACTCGGAGTGGAATGAGGTTTTGTCCTGTTATGGCTTTCCTCGGCATATTAACAAGGCTCGTATTCGGCTCTTAGAGGTCTGATGGAGTATGAAAGATGTTAAACGGAAATTCATACACTTCGCCTGGGCGGAGGAGTGCTAGACTCGAGACTAGTACCTTGCGAGAGAGAACCACGGTAGAATCTAAGCAACCTTCTGCTCAGCCTCAAGAAAGCACTGACTCTTACTTACTGGATGCAAAAAATTGATCTTTAGATATTTGTCCGTGATATACAGTTTAACGTTGTTTTCGTGAGGCCTAGTTATCTAATTGTGGGAAAGCTGAGCTATCAAGCCTTAAATCGCCTAGGGTGACTACGATCTTGTTAAATGTGGATATGCTTGAAACTATCAGTTAATCTTGAATAAGCATTTAGTTAACCTAGGTCGACCTAACATGACCTAGGGTTACAGAGATCTTATTCGAAACTTAGTGATAATTTGGAAACATTCTCGACATAAAATAAGTGTAATGAGATGTATTCACCATATTTACATCAAGTTGATAGCAAATACACGCTTTTCGTCGAAGATCCAACTATACTTGTAATAATGGAGATACCTAGCTTGCCTAAAAAGTCGCAACTGTCCTGTAACCCACTAGCACGAATGGTAGTTTAACTAATTGATAGCGTATCCTCACGATGTTTATTACTCGGTTTCCAACCCCATTGGGAATGTTGATGTGAGGTTGCAACTACAGTCTAGTCGGGATGGGGAAACCCTTTTGGAGGTAGGGCTTATTCAATTCAATGTTATTATGCGATCGTTGTATAATACTCGGCTAAAATTCCATAAATTACCTAAAATGATCCAGAATGGTTAAGTTATTCTTTAAGGATAGTCTGATTCTGTCTGAAAATAGGCAATTTTAGGATTTTATTATCATTCCCATCAGAAGACTCTTGTATATTTTGGCCGCTTTGTCACTAATCCTACCTTGAATTTAGAACGGATTCATCAAAGAAGGGAAATGGTAAGCCGACGACCATGGCGATCCAAATGACAAAGCAACCAGACAAGGACCTCATGGAATAAATTCCATGATCCTATGGCTTCTGAAGAGATTCATAAATTAAGCCTTTAGTCAAACACCTTTATAACAAATGGAAATAACCCTCCAATTAACACCACAAAGAGGTCTATTTTAGTTTTCACCTCAATTTAATATGGCACTTGCTAGAAATTCTTAAAACATAGTGATATTTAAGAGTTTGTAGAATGGAAGGAGGAAATAGAGACTGTCAGCCGAAATTTTTTACAGGTCAAGCATTTTCATCCTTTTTCGCCAGCATAGTATTATTTCACAGCTTACAACAAATTCTGTACTATAACTAACTCAACTAACCTAACATAATTTAAGGTGCCTTACAGAATAGTATGAGTTGAGATGGGTTTATTTTGCTTTTTAAAATGTTACTCCTTGTGTAGCATAATGTTGCTAGCCTCGCGTGATTCAGGAGCCAATGCATTTTCTCTAGAGTGAGCCGACGGTGTAAATTTGAAAAAGGAATCCAGTCTGTATGCGAACGGCTCTTTGGAAAGCATAGCAAAATAAAATTCAATGAGAAAATATGGTTACTTTATTCGGAGGAGGCTTACTTTTTTTCTGGAAATGGGGATGGTGCAATGGGAATTCAGGCCTATCTTCTCTTATTCCACTTTGTAGGTTGATAAATTATCGACCTCTTGCATATAATAAAAGGAAGGGTCACGTTGGACTGATAAGAATTCCCAATACTGGGAAGACTCTTTACTTAGTATTAACTTGAGGCTTTTACAAGAATGAGTCCCAGCTTTAAAGCTTTTCGTCAGAAGAAAGCTTAGCTCGTCTTCGCCCAAAACATTGGAGGATGTCTCGTAGACTGCATCAGCCTGAACTTTATATTAAGACCAAACGGTGGCAATACAACACGAATCAGCCGATTTC